TACTTTGAGTTTTGTGGTGGTCGGCGACCAGTTGTTGAACGGAAAACGGTACCGGCCTGTACACACCACCAGTGCATAGTAATAGACAAGCTTCGGAGGGATTTTTTTTTTCCATACCGGAGTTTCGGTACCAGACTTTCGGTATAAGTTTGTATCCGCTTCATCTGTTCGATACATATGCACTCTCTTTGAGGACAAGTTGCGGTATTACTCATTAATGGATTCTGCCCATTTAGCTTAGAGTCTGATTGCTTACATGGTCACAGACACATGCTTCGTTTTATTCCTTTTCGTCACAGTGTTCGATCTTCTGTTACAGACCTTGACCACGTTTCGCATCCTACCCATTGGCTTTAGCACTGTGGCACTGAAAAGAACCGCGGTCCTTCCGATCCTAAGCTTTGAGGGCATCTACAGTGCTATGGAATTTTGCATCAACCGGTATCCCTTCTGTGTGCCGTCTCCAACTGGAGATTGGGCAAATATTTACTTTCCGCCGGAATAAACTTAGGTGTCGGTTACTTTCAAGACAAGCGGTCTCTTCATTTGTTAATTTTCAGACTTACTTTCTTACTATTTGCCTTCACCTGCTATATCTTATTTTTCCGCGAAGCATAAATAACTTACCTATTTGCCATTGATTTCCGGACTATCTTATAATCCAACTTCAAAAATACTGTTTCGGCAGTGAATGTATGGACGATATGGGATCGTCTTGCTTCACTTCTTTTTTTATGACTGTACGAGTTGAAATGAATGAAAGTGTTATATCTGTCGCGGATGCCTTTGTTCCCCTTTGTAACAGTTCTCGCATAGTCTTCATCAGTCCCTCAGTCTAAAAAAGCTTGTAGCACAGCATTCATTTATATACAATCGAATGCTTTTTTTTATAATCAAACAGTTGGCCATCGCACCGACTGCCGGTGTGAAGATGCGTTTTTTGCATGGTTCCCCGCAGTTTTTTTCGCGATCGGCATTGGTTTTTCCAGCAAATGCTTCTAGCTAAAAGGTTTGAGACTGGCTGCCAGAACTATCAGGAAGCATCCGTTTAAAATTTTAGCTTCCTAGCTTTCCTGGTTCCCGAGTTAGTAACTTACCTGCAGAAAACCTTCACTAGTTCGTACATAGGAGCCGTGCATACCAGGGCCTAGGTTTGAACTCATTTGGACCTACCTGGACGACGAATATCCGCTTAAAGCTCCAGTCTTCTTTTGAGGTTCCCGAGTTAGCAAATTACCCGTAAAAACCTTTCACGGGCAGTACCTGGGTGCCACGCATACCCGAAAGCTGGGTTTGAACTCGTTAATACCCCTTAAAATTCCAGTCTTGCAGCTTTTTAGGTTCCTAACTTAGCAGATTACCCGAAAACAACTTTGGCGGGCCCGTACGTGAGTACAATGCGGGTAAGAGCGCACATTTTGAAGGTGAGGACTCGCACACGCATGTAGATTAAGTTTCCAAAGTATCAGATCTATAGCTTTTGTGGGTCTCGAGATGAAAAATCGGCACAGACGCGT